CGGTCCCCTCCCCCGCCAGCCCGGCTTTGCATCCCTATATCATTGCAACAGCTCCTACTCAGGCAATTTTCCTTTTTCCCAATAAAATTCATTATCTTCTTCAATAGCAAGCCCCGCCCTTGCCCGCACACGGCTTACTCCACCAAAAAAACCTATTCCCTCTTCAGTTGCTCGGCACTGCTCTGAAAAACATTGCCGATTCTTTGCCCTACGCGGAGCTGCCCCAGAGACTGAACCTCTGCAGCTAAGAGCAAGTCATGCATAAATTAAATCAGGTTAACAAGGCCGGTGGAAGGTCGCCTCGTTTTTCAGGATGGCCCCTTTCCAGTTTTTAGTGGCTGTCCCTAATTTATTTTTGGGGGGTGTATCTTTTTGTATAAGGCTTGTAGGGAACGCTTCGGGCATATAGGAAATTCTCTGGGCATATAGGAATCACTTTGGGCAGGCTGGAGGTCGGCTTTGGGAGGTGAGCAGCCCTGCCGCGCTCACGGCCCCTCGTCTGCAGCATCAGACGTCTGCGCTCGGTGCAGGTGGAGAGAGACCCAGGCGGCGGCAGCTCCCTTGCTGGGGACGGCGGGGGTGAAGCAGGTGGCCACTGCAGCACGGCTGATGGGATGTGGTAAAACTGAGTCTCATGGCAGCGCGGTTTTCTGACCCCTGTCGAAGGGACCGCACGTAAAATAACCAGCGATGAAAAGGAGAGGGGGGCAGAATGTGAAATTAATTCCACTGAAACGGGGTTATACTGAAAACTCCCGATTCTCACATCTTTTCCTGATTTACTTATTTTTATTGCTTTGCCGTGAACTCAAGTGGATTTCATTGAAAGCTGGCAGCGCAAACCCGGTTCATACGGAGGCTGAGCACATGCCTCGGTTTTGACATGCAGCTGACCCAGGCATGAGGGTCAGTTTTGGGGCGACAGCTCAAGTGAAACAAAGGCTTTGCAGTGAAAGGGGGTCCGCATTTACGCTGTCTTCCTCCTCCTACAGAGCCAGCTCCAGCCCTGGCAACGCAGCTCCTCCCGTTCCTAGCTGTTCATTTTAAATCGGGCCGGTTCGTTATGCCGGGGCTCGGGGGGGAGGGATCTGGGGCAC